CTGCCCGCCGTCTTCTCACCCTTGCTGTGCAGAACCCCCATGTGACAGAGATTCTGGTGGACGAGGATACGCCAAAGTATCTCTCCATTCAGAAGCAGTGCTTTGCCAATGCGGAATTGACGGTATTAGCCTCGCGGTGTCTGGTGTGTAACAGGCCCGTCATTCATTCCCCCGACCAGAAAATTGAGGGTCGTCTCCTCCTGTCGCTTGGAGAAGAACTAGATACCATGCTGCCTGCCCAAACAGGGGTGGCTCTCCAGGCCATGTTCCGTTGTATTTTGGCCTGCTGTGAGGTGGATGATGGGGTCCTATTTTTATGCTCCGGTGAATGTCGACTGCATCTCACGAAAGATATTCTTACTGCAATGCATGTAGTGGTTGGCAAGCGTTTTTCCGGTGAGCAGACCGCGTATCCAGCGAATCCCATTCTTAGACGGTGTGTGGAAGGCATTCTAAAGACACCTTTGGGGAAACCGGTAAAAACAGTAAACAACAACGACATACATGTTGGGGATAATTTACGGACGAAGGTTACCTGCAGCGATAAATACGACGTCGATGAGGACGACGAAGAGGATGAAGATGACAGCAACAGAAGAAATATATTGGAAGAGGTGGAGGAAGAATGTTCTATATGTGGGGTCCATGCAGTCTGTCTTCCGAATGGGGGATTGCAGGCGATGCGTCGTGTCTGTAAAGAAATTGCGGAAGGTTCCGTGTTGCGCCCATCGGCGTTGTTCCGTCTTGCAAAGTTGATGATGCAGTACACGGATATTCGTCCCTGCTCACAGAAGTGTGTGACGCATCTTGTGAGGTTTGGTATTTACGGCTACGGCGGCGTTTTACGACCCTCTTCCAAAAAAAATGATCAGTATGTTTCTTTACTCGATATTCCACTCACAAACTTGCCTATTGAAAATTTTGCCGTCCTCAACTTCTCGGCGGCATACATTGAAGAACTGGACGAAGAAGATACAACTTGTGCACTAACGGTTGCGAGTGCCATGTCAGACATGGATGGTGTGGCCATTGACCCCTACATGGTCTTTGCGTTTGGTCGGCATCTTGCACGACTACCGTCTCATGTGTTGGGGATGGAGTTGCGTCATGCATGTGAAGCTGTGCAAGTTGTTGGGTGTTTGCCCGCAAGTTTGGGGCCTTTTGACCGAAGAAAAGAACGACCTCCACGAAGTCGCTATGTTTCTTGGGAAAAATGGAGTGAATATGCCGATGTGGATAATATTGTGCGGGTTGCCTTTTCTCGACGACGGCAGGGAGTGTATCTCATTGACGGTCCACATGGAAATATCTTTGACAACACACGAGCGGCTCTTTGGGCTTTTCGAAAGCAACGACGTGCGGTATTAGTTGCCATGAAGTTCTCTCTAGAGTGGCTTGCGTTTCCAGGAGGTGTGGTGAAGAACGAGTCACCATTAAAGCGAGGTTTTCTGACAACATTCAAGGTTGTTGGTCAGACGAGCATTGACAATGCGTTTTACCTCATTTGTCAGGGGAACTTTGGGCCCCGTGTTGGAAACAACGGCTTCTTCTACATTCCGCGTGGAATTTTTAATTTATACGTCATAGGTGATGCGTACATTTTTATTGACGCCGGAGCATACATGACGTTACGGGGTCACAGACGAAGCCTTTACGCCGCAAGAATATTGCCCAAAAAAGTCATGGAGTTAGCGGAGCAAATTCCACTTCTAAAGGAAGTGCATTACTTATGTGTTGAAGCCCTCAACTGGAAAACACGGCACCGCCTTGAGGTCACCAAGATTGTGTGTGAGGCCCTTTGCCGCCTTCCTCCTCCGATATTTTTTATTTACCGCGGCTGTGACCGTGATGTGGCGGAGACCCAAGAAGAACTTTTGAGGACGTTACGTAAAATTGTTTTTATGGGCAACTCGCGCTCACTTATTCTATTCTATCTCCATGAGGTGCTGGGGTTGAGGTCGGTGGAGTGGGTTCATGCTCTCGTCCAGCAAATATCAAAGTATCCACCACTTTCCGTCTTACTACGGAAGCATGCCGAGTGTCTGACAGCTGCCGATCTTGAGCGACGATGGACACGAATTCAGTGGACGTCGTTGGAAGCAGAGAAAATTTTGCCAATAAGGATAACGGCGCCGGCTCCTGAGCCTTCTCGGCGTGGGAGGCCCTCGTCCAAACGACTTGCCAAGGCCACAGGTGGGAAGAAGTCGGGAAAGGAAGCACGGGATGCATTTATGAATAGACTGGAGAACCGCTGGAAGACGTTAAGAGAGCGGAGGGATTTGATGAGGGGAGTTCCTAGTCTCAGTCGAAGCACCAGGCAGTCAACTGGCCAATACCCTTTCGGGCCCGGCACTGCTTCGGTGTCCACGGCTCGATCGATGGCGTTGGAGAATGACAGTGTTCCCCTGTCGCTTGTCGGTCATCCATGGCACTCAGTCCGTCTTACAGAGGCGGATGGTAAATTGACAGATTATGTTTTGTTTTTTATCAAGGACCACACATGTTGTTTTAACACCAAAAACCACACCATCACAGAGCCATTGCACCCCATATTGGAGAACCCTTTCACGTGTCGTTTCCCCTTTGCTAACGGGTTTGACTGTGTGTTGCACTCGCCAGTGAATCCACGTACTGCATATTTCTTCTGCGGGGAGCAATGGATTGAGTGGGACACGTACTGGCAGACCTGCACAGGGGGGCCATTTAAACTACAACTTCACCAGCAGTTTGCGGCGCTGCCGCAGGAATTTTTCTGCAAGATTGATGCTGCTGTGCCCGTTCCAAATACTTCTTATGCCTTTTTATTTTCGCAGCTTATGTATATACTCATGGACCTTGAACAGCGGCGACCTGTTGATACCGTGAAACGTATTGGCGACATGACGAAGAGTGAGAAGAACCTTCCAACGTTTAACACAACTCTTGCACGACTGTTTCCGTACGGGCCCATGACAGCATTACTTTGGAGTGTCGAAAAGGAATTCGAGTGCGACAAGAAGAACGAATGGGGAGGAAAGAGAAAACCCCCTGAGACAGGAGGGGAATTGGCCGACGTGGAGAAGATGAGTGTAATGCTGATTGGAAGAGAGGGTCGCGTGGTAATTGTTCACAGTTTTGCCCCTTCTGTGTCAACAATGAAAAGCGATGAATACCAGACGCTTCCCTCAACCTCTTTCTCAAGACTTCCGCAAGCTCTACAGCAGATGACAACTGCTGCCCTGCATGGTGTTTGTAAGCATGTTCTTGACGCGGAGTGCAATCGATGTGGCGTTGTTTTGAATAATCTGGAGCATGGAGGGCATCTGGCGGAAACCATTACCAGCACACTCACTCAGAAACGGGAAAAATTGATGGATCTCTTATTTCTCACCAGGCAGGATGGTACGTGCAATGTGACCTCGCTGCTCTGTGAAGAGGTCGTCTTTGTTCAAACCGAGGAAAGTCTGCTTGGTTATCTGCCGCAGGTGATAGAGGTAGATTACGGTCTCACGTATCCCGTTGCCTTTGGCGCCCTTGTAGTCGTGCTGGATACAACACGATTAGATTATCGAGTGCTTCGTGTGGCGCCGATTAGGGCTGTCGTTGAGAGTAGTGATGATGGCATTGTGTACGTTAAACACACGTGTTTTGTTCTTGCACCTTATGTCACTGCCACTTGTTGGGGTGACGCACACGCAGCGCGCTTTTGGCGTCTTCGTTTTATAACACGATTGCCTGTAGGCACAGGTGTGGTGCGACTTTTATGGTATGAGGTTCTGCGAGTTCTTGAAGCCATTCCGTTAGATCCCAGCGTTCCGCTCCAACCACATCATTCAATCAGAGTCAACATCACGGCACCTCATATTCTTTGTAAACCTACGGAACTACTGAGCTATCTCGCTCCTGGGGCCGTCTTTGCATCCTCCTCAAGTGAAGGTTGGTTAGAGAAACACTGCATTCTGCCACTTCTTCCCGATGGGGTATTTTGTCTCTTTTTTTGTGGGAAAAACTTTGTTGAATTGGACTTGAGGAGTAACATTGTGGTTTCACACCGCACGATCCCTCTCGCGAGCCACCCCGGCTTTGCTCATTTACCATATCCCTTTTTATGTGGGTTTGACGCCGTGTTTTATCCCAATCTACAAACCCCGTCTGTCGTGGCAATTGTTCATGGAAAGAAGATTATTTTGTGGAATTTGAAGTTGGGCTCTGAAGAACTGCAGAGCAGCCCAAATGATCCTAATTTGTTCTTTAAGGGACTACCGTGGAGCATGGATCAAATTGAAGACATTGTTCAAATATGGGATTGCCCCGGTGAATTCTTTCTCATACGGTCTCAACAGGTACTGCGGTGGAACATTTTCACGGCGGAGGTTGTGGAGGGGCCGATGCTCCTTCGGAACTGCCCCTATTTATATCACAAGGAATTTGACGGAAAAAAGATTCTATGCGTTACCTCCTTCCCTAAAGAGCCCAAATGCCTCTATGTCTTCTGTGAGGATCGTGTGGCTTTTCAAACAGTGACCAACGGTATTGTGTCCGACCGCGTAGGACCAATCTGTGTAAGTCAAATGGATTTATTTAGCTCCATGACGTGGTACCTGAATTGGGGGAAGAGGCGACGCAGCTCCGTGATTCACATTGATTTCATGGAAGAACACCCACTTCTGGTTGGAATGGTAATTCGAAGTTCCGAACCCTGTGATGAGGATTGGCTTATTGAATATAGCGATGATGGGTTGGACTGGAAAACTGTTGGTCATCACCTGCAATCCTCCGGGCTCAGTCGCACAATGTGGGGACTGGCGAGCGTGGAATTTACTTCTCATCGACTTTGGCGTTTACCACAGATGCGACGCAAAGTTATTGTGTGAGAAATCAGCCGGTATTCTATATGAGTGTCGTCTTCTACACTTTGCCC